GGGGTGTGTGTGTGTGTGTGTGTTCTCAAGCCAGGTGCTGCATGCATGCCAGATACAATGTCAAGTGTCTTCTATCACCTCCCCCTCTCCCCCCAAACAGGTTTCTGTCCTGGGTAGTTTTATGTCAGTTTGACACAAGCTAGAGTCATCTGAGAGGAGGGAGCCTCAGTAGAGAAAATGTCTCCATGAGATGAGGCTGCAGGCAAGCCTGTAGAGCATTTCTTAATTAGTGATTGATGGAGGGTCCTGGGTTCTGTAAGAAAGCAGGCTGATCCCCTGAGCAAATCGAGAACATGGGAAGATGGGGGGAGGAAGCTACGGGAGTGAGAAGGGAAGAAAAGGAAGGATGCAGAGGTCATGAGGAAGCAGAAATTTTGAGTGAGGTGTAGATTAGAAGAAAGGACGTATGACAGGTAGGATTTTAGTTGGGGGGGTGGTAGAGGAGGAAGGGAGGGAGAAGGGAACTGGGATCGTCATGTAATTCAATCTTGTTTGTAATTCAAATATATAAAAAAATAAATTAAAAAAAAAAAAAGAAAGAAAGCAGGCTGAGCAAAGCCCTGGGAAGCAAGCCAGTGGGCAACACCCTTCCATGGCTTCTGTATCAGCTCCTGTCTCCAGGATCCCATCTTTTTTTAGTTCCTGTCCTGAGTTCCTTTGGTGATGGACTGTAGTTGTGGACATGTAAGCCAAATAAGCCCTTTCCTCCCCAGCTTGACTTTGGTCATGATGCTTCAACATGGCAATAGTAACCCAAACTAAGACAGTCTTTCTCTGTAGCCTTAGCTGTCTTGGGATGGAATTTGCTGTGTAGATTGCCTGCTTTTGCCTCCCAAGTCCTAGGATTAAAGGTGTGCACTGCCACACTGAATCATCACTCTTCACCTTGTTTTTCTGGACAGTCTGTCACTGAACCGGAAGTTCACTGACTCTGGCAAGACTGGCTAGCCAGGGACCTCCAGCAATGTTTTTTCCCTACAGTGCTGAGTATAGGTGTGCTACATTTGCCCTCCCCCATAGGGGCTGGGAAATCTAAGCTCAGGATAAAACACAAGGGTGTATCTCCTGTGTTGCCAACGGTAAGACAGGGTTTCTGGTCCTTGTATCTCGTGTTGTCCTTGTCCAGTTTACCCTTGCTGGATGCAGGCAGGCTGCTCCTGCATGGAAGAGCCAGGTAGAATTGGGTCTCATTGGAAGAGCAGGCTTTGAAGGGAAAGAACAGCGATCCACTTGTGGTTTATAAAGACATTTGGTTTATTTCTGTGCTACTGTGTTCGCTGTGCCTCTTCCAGACCTTGTCACCATGTGCTATGTGTGTGTCTGATGGGAACCAGAAACAAGGAAAATGGGTGTCCAGGAAGGTTTGTGCCCAGGGCTCAATCTGAAGACTGGTTGATGGAGAATTGAGGGTTTTGTGGAGGTGGGTTTCTGTTTTTTTCTTTTTTTAAAGGAGGCTGGGTTTATTCTGACTCTAGTTTAAGGATACAGCCCATCATGGGAGGGGACAGATGAGATTGTATTGTATCCTTATCTGATGAAGTTTACTGTAACATTGCTTATGTGGTGTGTTCCCGGACAGCCCGCACAATGCTGTATTTCAGGAGGGAGGGCCACAGCTTGTCCGTCAGGATGACGTTGCTATTGAAGGCAGACACATCAGAGTGTCTGAACAGATGAATGTTCACACAACTACCTATGGACACTGAAATCTCTAGCTTTCCATCTTACTTCTTATTTCAGAGGGGCAATTTTTGACCACTTGTAACTTTTGTGGTTGGGAACAAGTTGCCTCTCTGCCAAAATTTGTGTGTAGCTTCTGTTTCAGATCCCTCCTCCTCAGGCCTCTCTGTCAAGCACTTACTCCGGACCACATTTGACATTGTTTGAGTCTGTCCTTTGTTATGGCTGAAAGCACCTCTTCTGCCTTGCTGCCCCTGTGGAGCAGCTGCATTTCACATCAGTCAGCATTTACTTCAGGCTGCTAGCAGGTGCTGAGGAGCTGCCCCCACTCCCTGTTCACCGGCAGCTGTGTGGACAGATTCCTGACATGCCGCTGGCAGCTGCTTTTGCTAAAGCACAGAGATTTCTGGACCTGCTGTGTGCCTGTGGAGTGCATGGCCCTAGGCACACTAGAGAGGTTGCCAGGACATTCTGGGCATTTAATGACCCCAGAACAATGCTTTACCTAGGAAGTAGAGAAATACCAAGCCTAGGCCTTTTCTTCTTCCTTGCTTGGATAGTTCTCAGAAGGAATGGACTGTGGTGACTGGGTGGCCATTTTTTTCCTCCCTTCGCAGCTGCCTCACCCTCCCTGCAGTGCTCTTCCTGGAACCCCCTACCCCTATTCCATAAACAAGTCACAAAGTTACCTTTGGGGGAGCCCAGATCTTCTGGATTTTTGGAATTAGAGTGATTTTTTAAATTAATTAATAGTTAATTAATTTGGGGGCTTTGGATACAGAGTTTCTCTGTGTAGACCTAGCTGTCTTGGAATTCGAGCTATAGACCAGACTGTTCTTGAACTCAAGATCTACTTGCTCTCTGTCTCCTGAGTGCTAGGATTAAAAGGCCTGGCCACCACTGCCTGGCTCAGTGACTTTAAAAGAAAAATTGTTTGTATTTATTTTATGTGTATGGGTGTTTTGCTTACATGTATGTGTGTGCACCATGGGCATTCCTGGTACACAAAGAGGCCAGAAGGAGGCAGTGGATTCCCTGGAATTGGAGTTACAGATCTCTGTGAGCTGCCATGTGGGTGCTGGGAATCAAACTCATGCCCTCTGCAAAAAAGCAACAAGTGCTCTTAATGGTTGAGACATTTCTTTAACCCCCAGAGTAACTTTTATTATAAGCTTTGCCTCCTTTCTTTTGCTTGCTGGAAATACATGATTTCGTGTCCTTAACAGTGATGTCATCTTTACAGAAGTGTCTGGGTAGAGGAGTGGGGAGGAAGGATTGTATATACCCAAAAGTAAATCAGTTCAACTCAGCCTTCTGCTTATCTTAATCTCTGTTCCTAAAGAGAAAAGTAGCATGTATGACCAGAAAATAAATATGTATGTAGGTAGGTAGGTAGGTAGGTATGCCCCAACTTCAGCTGTCTGCTCTAAGCTGGTTCAGAACTTGGTACTTCCAAAAGGTGTCAAATTCTGTCCTGGAAAATAACTTAAGATGTGAATACTACATATATAACAGGGTGGCTGCAAAACCGTAGTTCCACGTGTGTTTGCAGGTGGACTCCCAACACCGTGATTGATGGGACTATCCCAGGGCAAAACAAATGTTGAAAAAACCTTTTTATTTAATTTAATTTCCAGGGGGGCTTGAAAGAAGGGAGGTCTGGGAAGCTTTGGTTAGGATGTAAAAACAAGAACATAAAGAAACATGTAATTTACAGTTTGGTAGGGAAATAACTTGGAGACTCATCTTTGCTTTGAATAAGATAACACTTCCCCACTGTCTTATAGACAGAGACTGTGTGACTGTGTCTCCACTGCTGTCAACTCTGGCTGGGTTATTAGCAGTGAGTTAGGAACTGGCCACATGCTGTGTCCTTCCCTTCCCTGCCAGCAACCCCACCCCCCCACGTTTCTTCGCTGCTGGTGGTGGAGAGTTCTCTTTGGTTTGGACCTTCCTTCATCTAGAGTACTTGTTTGGTTCTTTTCTTGCTTTCTTTTAGTCATTTCTCCCTTTTTTGGCAGTTAGTAAGCTTACTATAGTTAATCTAAAAAGATTTTTCTGTAAATACTACTATAAATACTAGCTGAAGTTAGGTTGTATATCTTCCTGTTACAAGTTTATTGTTACTGTTTCCCTTATTTGATTGTAATCAAATCTTCTGTACTTGGTTTATAAAGCTACTAAAATATTTTGTAGATATTAATGTTTTCTATATATGTGTACTGAACCATGTTCAAAGAAAAAAACTTGAGCTGTGTGATTCTTATCCTGATTGGTTCTTGCCAACCTGACACAAACTTAGACATATCTGGGAATAGGGAATTTTTTTTTAACTTATTTATTATGTATACAGTCTTCTGCCTGCATGCCAGAAGAGGGCACCAGATCTCATTCAAGGTGGTTGTGAGCCACCTTGTGGTTGCTGGGAATTGAACTCAGGACCACTGGAAGAACAGTCAGTGCTCTTAATCACTGAGCCGTCTCTCCAGCCCGGGAATAGGAAATCTTAATTGAGAAAATGTCTTCATCTAATTGGCTGAAGGGCATTTTTTTTTTTGATTGATGGTTGATGTAGGAGGGTCCAGCTCACTGTGGGCCATACCACCCTTGGGCAGGTGGTCCTGACTTGTACAAGAAAGCAAGCCATGGGGAGCAAGCCAGTAAGCAGCACTCTTTCATGCCCTCTACTGTAGAGTTCCTGCCTCCAGATTCCTGCCCTGACTTGCCTCAGTGATAGAGTGTGACCTGAGAGTTGTAAGCTGAAATAAACCCTGTCTTCTCTGAGTCACTTTTGGTCATGATGTTTTTTCTGTCACAGCAATGGAAACACTAACTGTGACAGTTCTCTGAGTTATCTTTCCCAGGGTGTTTTTGGGAAACAAGTTTGGGCTACAGGCTGTTCACATTTGTTCTGAAGTTCTTTCCAAGCTTTCTTCACCTAGAATGTCACCCTCATTCACTTTGATTCCCCATCCATGTCCTACCCTTACTGTCTTAACAAACACATTACTGTTTCTTCTTCTTAAGACTTTGATTTTATTTTAATTATATGGGTGTGTGTGAACATGAATGCTGGTGCCCACAGAAGACAGAGGTATCAAATTCCCCTGGAGCCAATGTGCTAGAGCAGCAAGTGTGGTTAACCACTCATTGAGCCGCCTCTCCAGCCCCCACCTTCGTGTGTGTGTGTGTGTGTGTGTGTGTGTGTGTGTGTGTGTGTGTGTGTGTGTGTGTGTGCTCAGAAATGAACTTTTTTATGTATATTATGGAAATTATGTTGTATGTTCAAAGCTGAATTACAATTCCACCACTCAGTTTTTTTTTCCAGTCCCAGGTTTCTGTTTGTCTTCCAAGGTCCAGGTCTGTCTGTCTGACCCTGGGTGTTTTTCCTGGGCTTGGTGTGCTGGGTTTTGAGGATACAGAAAGTGTTTTCTTTGCCGTTTGTACTTTTTGTACCTCTCACAGTCTCTTCGTTTTCTTAAGCATCCAGTTTTGTTTTGTTTTATCTTTAATTTCTCTCCAGCTATTCTGTATTAATTTTTAAAGCATTTTTCTTGTTTACTGTTTATAGATGTAAAAAAGGATTGGTCTGACCATGCTCTCTGGTGGGAAAAGAAGAGAACGTGGCTGCTTAAGACGCACTGGACCTTGGATAAGTATGGCATCCAGGCAGATGCCAAGCTTCAGTTCACCCCCCAGCACAAACTGCTCCGGCTGCAGCTTCCCAACATGAAGTATGTGAAGGTGAAAGTGAATTTCTCTGACCGAGTCTTCAAAGCTGTGTCTGACATTTGCAAGACTTTCAGTAAGTATCTAGCCCTTCGTTAAAGTATGATGCACATATGACTGACGTGGCATTGAGCTTACCCTTGGGGTGTGGTTTGGGATGAACCCTGTGTGCATCTGTATTTAAAATTACTATTTCCATAGGTTTTTTTTTTTTTTTTTGGTTTATTTATTATGCAGACAGTGTTCTGCCTGCATGTATTCCCGCAGGCCAGAAGAGCACACCAGAACTTATTTCAGATGGTTGTGAGCCACCATGTAGTTACTGGGAATTGAACTTGGGACCTCTGAAAGAGCAGCCAGTGTTCTTAACCTCTGAGCCATCTCTCCAGCCCTATTTTTGTGGTTTTTAATGTTAGTTTTAGATAAAGAAGTATTGGGTTAAGAAGGAATAAGAAGGATTAGATTTTTCCCCCTGATTAGAATCATATCATGTTTCTTATTATATAAAAGTTTTTTTCTGATAAGTTTATTATTTGATAGTTGTGGGGATTGAACCTTGGGCCTCAGTTCATAGAAGGCAAGTGCTTTTCCACTGAGCTACACCCTCAGCCCCAACAGCATTGTCTGTCAGAGGGAGAGGAAGGGAGCAGGTATTGTTTTCAGAGGGCTGTGGCTCTCCAGTATTTCCGTCATGTAAGTCACTTTGATTTTAGTAAGTCAGAGAGATGGTGTCACTTCCTTTGACGAAGGCCTGCCTGCTCCTGAGGAAACTGTGAGGACTCTTCCTCACCCAGTGTGAATACCTTGGACTCTCAGAAACAAGATGTGGATTGCCTTTTACTTTGGTTGACCTGGTTATGATGTATGACAGGAAGTATTTAGCTGTCAGAGAAAATGTGAATTTTCGTCATTACTGCTAGAACATAATTCTTAGATACATTCAGCGATTCTCCAGATTTTAGTTCCAACTAGAACTAGAACTCTTTTATACATGTTACATTTTCAGGTGACACTAATAATTCATGAACATATTGTCACAGAAGAATCAAGACTGTAGACATAACACAGCAAATGGCCCCTTCCCAAAAGTAACTTTGGCCAAAAGTTTGATTTGCTACACATTTGCTTGTTCAGGCCATTTCCTGTGTAATGTGTTTATGTGTGGTGTATGGTATGTGCATATGTGTACTCGGGTTTGGAAGTCTTCATTGGTGTAAAGATGATAGGAGTATGTTGGTTGTCTGTCCTACTTTTTCTGCCCCATTTCCTAAGTGCTAGGAATAAGTGCCAACATGTCTGGCTTAGGGTTGAGTTTAGCAGCTTCTCTATGCTGTATCCACGGAGCCATTTCCCAGTCTTATTTTTTCCTCATCAGTTACTGCTGTTAGAAATGCTGTTGATTTTCTTTTTCTTTTTCTTTCTTTCTTTCTTTCTTTTTTTTTTGTAATCTATCTGATATCATTGTTGAGCTCTGTCTTAAATCTTAATTTATATTTTCACTTTTTATATAAATCACACCTCTTATAATTCACCCTCTTTCTCATTTGTGCATCTTGTCCCTCATCTTGTCTTACTGTAATGAATTAGACTTTAGTCATGTTGAGTAACAGCAATAACAATATTATTGAGTTGTTCCTGGTGTTTTACATTGAGCTCACATTTTATTGTATTTGGGAACTTTTCACCTATATTTTATTCCTAATACCTTGCCTCATGAAAACACAGAAAATGTAATTAAATGGAGGTCAGGGAAGCCTACGTCATATGTAGCGCAATGGGAAGGTCCCGCATGCCCTGATGACCTTTAGAACTCTTCATAGTATAGCTTTGCTCATATTCCCTCTTTATCATCCATGTGCTGTCACTAAATCTTACTCTGTGAATGTCTTAGGCATTCATTTTTCCTTCCACATTCTTTTCTAGTGAGTGACAGTAAATGTAGTAGTGTATTTAAGTTTCTATACTTAAATTTCTCCACCTTCCTAAATACAGCTGTGTGCGTGTTCGCCTTTGTTGTTACACCTTTACTACTGTTAATACCGTGCCATTTTCAGCCATGTGTGTGTCTGACTTGCTGGACCTGTGTTCTGGGATTTCTTATCTTTAGAGTTCTGAGATGAGACTCTTGTCCCAGAGTCTGGGCCTGGCCCCAGTCCCAGAAGCCCCACAAGCTGTGTTTAGCACTACCAGCCGGAGAATGAGTGTAGAGGACATCCCATATTCAAGCCATAGTGTCCACAGGCTTGGAGGGACCCAGAAGAAGCTAAGACTTAAAGATGTAATTAAGGGGGCTGGAGAGATGGCTCTGTGATTAGAATTCCCAGTACCCACATGGCAGCTCACAACTGTAACTCCAAGATTTGACACCCTCACACAGACATACATGTAAGCAAAACACCAATGCAAATAAATGTTGTTTTTTTTTTTTAAAGATATAATTAAATCACTGTGGAGTTGAGGTTGATTATAAAAATAACCAAGGCAGTACTTGGCCTTAAGTAATTCAATAACTACTTGTTTAATTTATTTAGTAAGTAGTAATTGAAGATTGTTCTTCTTGCTAAAAAAAAAATGCCAGGGCTGGAGAGATGGCTCAGAGGTTAAGAGCATTGACTGTTCTTTCAGAGGTCAAGTTCAATTCCCAGCAACCACATGGTGGCTCACAACCATCTGTTATGAGATCTGGTGCCCTCTTCTGGTGTTCAGATACACATGGAAGCAGAATGTTGTATACATAATAAATAAATAAAATCTTTAAAAATAAATAAATAAAGTAAAAAATATTCCATAAATACTATAAAATGTTAATGTGTGAATTGGGAAGGAAAGCGTGCATACTTGATTTGCAGTTGTTAAATCAGGTGGCGAACAGTGTGCCTACCTACATTTGTATCATTTATGAGTGAATTGTGATTAGGCTTTTGTAGGTTTTAAAAAGCTAAATATTGAGTACGTGAAAATTGTAGAAACCTAAATTCCCCTGTCTATAAGTAAACTTGTATTGGAGCATAGCCAGGCTGCCCTGCTTAGCGTTGTCAGGCTGCTTCTGGATGACAAGGCAGGGTTAGAAAGATCTGCACAGGGGGTGAAATACTTTCTGCCGGCCTTGTGCTTGCTAATCCTGAGCTAACTTATGTGGAGACACTCTGTTCATCTTTCCACCACTGGACACCAAACACTGAAGTCACTTCGGAACTACTCCCGGGAATGATTTTCTTCTGTTAGTCATTTAATATTCAAGCCTAGTAATTTTCCTCAAATTAAATGAATTCACTTAAGTGCTGGTCACTGTGGTTTCATTAGTTGCACTCTTCTGGGTTCGTTCTTCTGGCTCTTGATCACTGTAAGAAAAGTAGAATCAAAAGGAAGAAAAATGACATGGCCCGTGTTACCAAGCGTAGTTAGCATCAGAGTCCGGAGTGTCGTGAAGGATGCCAGCTACTGAAAAGTCAGGAAATTACCTGATTTTGCTTAACACTGACAGCCTTTGCAAGCTTTCTTTGTTTGCTTTTAAAATTGGTAAAAATGATTTCTTTTGTAATTTAATTCTTATACAAATTCTGTGTAATGACTAAATGAGACTGGCTGACTTGCCTCCTCCTTTTTTAAGCAAACATTGTTGGCAGAGAATGTTGAGTTCCTTATCCAGCCTGTACACTGGTGTGCCGACTTCACAAATGTGCTCCCAGTTTGACAGTGTTCCGTGCTCACAGTGTGTTATGCTGGTGTTAATTTAAGACTGGGGTTCAGGTCTTCCCACTGGTGATACTATTAGGCACACGCTAACACATTCCCGTTTTCCCCTCTGCCCTGCCCCTGGAGAAGCACCTGTGTTTGATAGAGACACATGCACAGTGACAGTAGAGCAGGTTGGAGGGGCCCCTGTAAGAATGAGAAGGGAATGAAGAATCAGTTAGATCATTGTTCTATACTCTATGCTTGTTCCTTTTTAAAAAAGATTTTTATTTTATGTACATTGGTGTTTTGCCTACTGTTACAGATGGATGCAAGCTGCCATATGGGTGCAGGGAATTGAACCTAGGTCCTCTGGAAGAGCAGTCGGTGCTCTTAACTGCTGAGCCATCTCTCCAGCCCTTTATTTTATTTCTACCGGCAAAGAGTTTGTTTAGTCTAAAAATTATTTAGTGCTTCTTGTTACTTTATTTTCAAATTATTTTCCAGTATATTTTGTTCTTTATAAGTTTATTTTAGCTTAAGTACTAAAAATCCAAACTCAGCTTTGTTCCAAGTTTACATTTTCACACCTTGAGAAGTTATATGAGAAAACCAATTAGTTAACGTGACTCCCAATGACAGGCCCTTCCACCCTTCTGATGTGGGTATGGCCTCGTGTTTGTTTGTAAAGCCTTGCATTAGTAAGGGTTTCTGTTGCTGTGCTAGACACCCACAACCAAAAGCTTCTTGGGGAAAGGGTTATTTCAGCTCACAGCTCTTAGGTCACACGCCATCACTAAGGGAAGTCAGAGCTAGAGCTGGAGGCAGGAACTGATACTGAAGCCATCCAGGGAGGAGTGCTGCAGCAGGCTTCCTATGGCTCACCCAGCCTGCTTTCTTATACAACTACGGAGCACTGGCCCAGGGTAGGCATCACCCACAGAGGGCTTGGCCTGCCCACATCAATCATTACTCAAGAAAATGCCCCTACAGACTTGCTTACTGGCCAATCTGATGGAGGTATTTTCTCTCTTGAGGTTCCTTTCCCTTGTGTCAAGTTGATTTAAAAAACCAATCATGACAGACCCCCTTCAGGGAACAGGGTAGGGTCTGTTGAGCTGCCTTTCCAACTTGGCTGATAGGTGAAGCAGAAACATTCCAGAGTCCTCCTCACATCTCGTTGTCCACCTGTGTCATGTGGCCAGTCTTAGCTGCAAGAAAGACTAGAGAAGCAGAAAGATGTTAATGTTTGCAATTTTCTTATATTAGAGACAAGCAGAGAAGAGGGCTGAGAAATGGTTAGTGAATTCACCCATAAGCAGCTCTGCCACATGCTCCTTTCTTAAGTCTGTAATGAGCCAAACTGAACAAAATACAAAGATCAAATGATATTTTGAGTAG